TAGCATTAGCTATAGTTTAACATGATTCAAATTTGTATGTGTTTTCACTCTTATTGGTTTGTTACATTTATTGCAATTTTGGAAATATTATTCAGCGTAAAAATTAAACTGAATTGCAAATTTGCAAATTATCTAAATTTGCAAGTGTTGCACAAGTACTGAGTGTAGATAGATTTGTACCTTATAAACACAGTTTTTTGTTAACAATTTTCAAGCTATGAATCCAATGATATCAATATTTTTTTTAAATTTTAAAATATGACGTTTTACAAAATGTCACAAAAAAACTATTTTTTTCTAAATTGAACGTTTTTTTAGCTCTAATGTTTCTTTTCCACCTACAAAATGATTGTAAGACTGGCAACTATCAAAAATGCATCTCAATCAGTGTATAGCATTCACGTTCTACTAATAAACGCGCGCGTTAAAAATAACTTGGCAGTGCGTTCTTGTCTTTTGATGTGATGAGCCCAGAAATACACAATTTCAGGATCAGATATCCAGTTGTAAACTCCAGCTAAGAACTTCAAACTGCAAACTTCCAATTTGCAACCTGCTAATCCGAAATCATGGAAAACTGGTCCACAAACGCGATCATTAACTGGAATCATCATGGAATTATGGAGTTGCCAAGTGAATTGGAACATTATGGCAGTAGCGTGAGGGAAATGCATTTACAACATAATAGAATTCAAACTTTGCCGCCATGGATCACGTATTTAAGGAATTTGAGTGCACTTTATTTGGATAATAATAATTTGCGGGATATTCCGGAAGAAATTGGCACCTTATCGCACCTGACTGATCTGAACTTAAGTAGTAACAGTTTGAGCAAACTTCCTCAAGAGATCAAATCTTTACACAGTTTGACGAATTTAATCATTACTGATAATAACTTGACCAATTTGCCTGGTGAGTAATTAAATTTTTTTTAAATCAAACTAAAAATAGTGCTATTAGAGGTAAAGTGTCTTTGTGAGAAACATTATGAAAACACCAGCAAAGACATCTACATTTGATCTATCAACATGTTTTGTGTATTCTAGTCGATTGTTTTAATAGAACTAGGCTTTTCGAATGTTTCGAATGTCTAATCAAAGATCCAGATACATAAATTTTTTACTTGGCTTATTGCCATTTTAAAAAATATACAAACTTCGCAGGCTGAGAATGCTTGTTTTCTTATAATTTTCTAACTAAACACATACTTGTTTGTTTTTTAACTAACTAGGGGTGCATGGCAACGTGTCTTAAGGCAAATTGCTGGAACTTCCCATACGTTATGAAATATTCTAGGAATATTAAATGCTTTCAAATAGATTATTATAAATACTGTAACTAATATATGTTGACAGAAAACTAATTAGCACATCTCCTTATCAATAGGAATCTAATGTTTTTTGAACCATCTGAATCGGTATCCATACACACACAAACATCCCTTTTTTCTGAGGTATGCCAAAATGTTCAGAAACCTTCAAAACGTGAAGAAATGCAAAAATTTTCAATTTCGATTTTTGGACGATTACAATAACTTACCCTGCGGGAAATTAATATATTGCCCAATATAAAAATGAAATAAAAAGCCCAATAAAAAACACTATATTTCACTTTAGTTTGAACATACATGTATCGTATCCTAAATATTTGGGTTTAAATGGTAGAAAGTTGCATCAGTTTTAAATTATAAACAAACTCAAATTTTTAAAAATAATGATACAGAAAATAATATTAACACAAGTTTTTTCACATTTAATCTACACAATGCATATACGTTCATATTTTTATTGATTCGTGTAACTTCTTACTTAGTTCCAAATATAACTTCTTTATTTCTTTTCATATTCTATCAAATTTTTCATTTTTAGCAGCAATTTTATTCTGAAGTTTGTTGTAGATGCTTTTCGTACTCTATATAATAATCTGATTGATAAATTTACTTTAGAAAATTGTTTTGCAAAGAGATTAATTTAATAGTGAATTATTAAAATGTGATAACATTTTACAACGAAGTATAGCAATTAACGAATTTATATAATGGGTTTCTTTGTAGTATTATACAGTACCATAATTAATTAGATAATGTGTTATTTTTAGCAGTTACTATAAACAATGAAAAAGTAACTTTCACAAAATTTAAGTGAAATATACAAATTTAAAAATGTATAGTGCAGAATTTTCCATTTTTGTGAAACTTAAATCCAACAATATGACCAGTGATCTATTAAATAATTTATATAAAATTATAAGTGGATATATCTGAAATTTTACAAACAATTTGAAATTTGCAACATTGCTTGATGAAAATATTTTATATCCTCAAATAGAAATGTGATTGCATATGAAATTGATTGAACTAATTGTCTGCGATAATTGAGTAATTGAAGAACTTATCGAATGGCTTAGATTTTCTGAAATAATAACATTATTTGTTTATAGAGCTTAAAATAAGCGATAATGGGTGTATTACTACTGTTGTGATCGATTGTTAATTATAGGTTTATCAATTTTACGAATTTTTATTTTATGGAGATTAGGAAGAAAGATTGAAGGCAACTTCAGGTGATGGTTGGTTACACATTTTTTGCCTTCTACTTTAAAATAGTACATTGAAAAATTCAATACTTTACTTGTTTTTGAGATAATTATGGTAAGCTTTTTTACCCGCGGACCTTTAAGCCCCGCTCTACCCTATTATTAATGTTTCCCTTCGCAAAATAGGTTTTGTTGACTTTGGCTGATATTTCGTATTAAAAATCCTTTTGTGTATAAATATTACTTTATAATTAATAATCCAGCTCGTTTATCAACTTTCCGTAGGGTAAGTTATAGTAATCGCAAAAAAATGGAAAATAAAATGTTTTATATATCTTTACACTTCAAGGGTTTCTGAACATTTTGGCATACCTTACAAAAAAGGATGTATGTGTGTATGTAAGTATGTGTGTGTGTCTGTGTGTGTGCGGATACAAATTTTCGTAGACTATTTTGCGAATACGGATCAACCGATTTGAATAATTCGATTCCTACTGAAAGGCAGGTCCTGCCGTTTCGGAGATACGGGGCAAAAATTATTTTACTTGTCTTGACGAAATCAACAACTGGCGAAATTTGTGTATATACAGGCCTAGCGTCTCCGTAGATCCAATGAAAAAAGTAAAAAATAATGCCAAAATGATCATTAGACATATGTACATCATATTATCACATATTTTATTAAAATTATAATAATAAGTACAAATTTTGTGTACATTTATATGGATTCCGTACCAATGTTTACACGTTAGATGACTACCGGCGCTTAGGCGCTTTGATATTTTGACTCCAAATCAGCTATGCAGCGCCATTGCCTAAAAAATGTTCAATATTTTCAAAAAAAATCATAATACAAAAAAAATCAAAATATAAAAACAATCAACATTTTCAAAAAAGTCAATTTTTTTCAAAAATTTTACAATTTCTCGACAATCTAATTTTTTCAAAGTTTTGCATAGTTTTTTTTAAATTTAGTTTTTGGTACGGAAAGTTCCAGCAATTTGCCTTAAGGCACGATGCCATACACCACTAGTTTCACCTATTTTTAGAGAGAAAAAATAAATATAAAAAAGAAATGCACACACTTACCAGTAATCAAACACCGCGCATTTGTTCAAAGTGATTCATTACAATTTCTTTTAACAATTCTCATAGTGCATGCATAACTTATAATTAGTCTCACTCTGATTATCACCTTTACCTGTTTGAGAAATTCACCTGACGAACGATTGATGTAGGCAGTATTTTCACTGTTTATAATATTAATGTAATCAAAAGTGTTCTAATTACTTAGGTATTCTCGTATCGTGTTATATATTTTATATTTCCATATTCATAGTTATTGCAATTTTATCGATGACGAACTTAATCCTGATTAATATCATGGTGGAGTAAACAAATGGCCGTTTATCGAAGTTGTTTATACTTAAGATGTTTGCACATTTATGCATATATTACGTAATCGTGTTTAAAGTTTTATATTCATAATTTTATGCGATATTGCTGCGGCAACGTCGTAAAAGCTTACTAAAAATAAAGCAATATTAAAAGTTTTATTACATCAATATAATAAAACAAAGTATAAAAAAAGGCCGACTGATCGTTCTAATAGCCTAGTAACCTTTTCGCTACGAGCGTCACTCGACTAGCTGTGTGTACGAGTACGAACTTTAGAAGACATCCAATGTGTCGAATTTTGCTTAAATATTTATAACTCTGAGTAAAATCATTGATAGTTCTTTTTTGTTATTGTTGTTTTACCAGCCATCAGCTTAAATACATTTATATCAATTTTTTTTATATATTTAACAGAAATCAGAACCTTACGTCCTTTAGCTGTTGGGCTGAAACTACTCCTTTCTTTTAGATGGTAACTCAATGGTTAATCCATTCATATTTGATTATTTTTTGTTATTAGATTTAATCTAATAGGGCTGACTTTTTTTTTATTGGTGCAGCATTGCCGGGCAAGGGCTATTTTCACTTGGAAATATATTGCTATTTAATTTCCAAGTGAAAGTCGTTGTCACTGCTGCCTGACAACAGGCTGCTCGAAGTGGTTATCGAACCCGGGACCTCTAATTCAGGGCCCGTCGCTCTTAACCGCTTACCTACGGGCGAGCCCTATATCAATAATGATAGAAATATCTTGAAACATTTTGTGTAACAATTACAGGGGCAGCTTTTCAAATCAATACAAATCATTTATTATTGATTCGTTTACAAATATAATTATTGACATACAGGTAGACAGGTAGACAGATAGGACATGTAGTCAGGTAGATAGGCAAACAGCGAGGGATGTATGAACGTAGAAAGGTAAACGAGTAACTAGGTAGAGTAGACAGGTAAAAGGATAGTAAAGTAGAATAGTATATTAAAAGTAAACAGGCAGGTAGACATGCAGCCAGATAGACAGATAAACAACTGAACCGGAGGAGAAGTAGACAGGTAAACAGGTAGACATGTTAACGGGTAAAAGAAAAGGTAGATATATTGGTAGGATGACTGGTATAAATGCAGAGACATTGACACTTAGACAGGTAATAGACGGACGGGTAAACAGGTAGACAGATAGACAAATAAACATACTAAGTTTTTTTATTATATTTTAACAGCAATCAGAACTTAGTCCTATGAGCTGTAAGGTCTGATACTTGTCCTTACTTCGTATTTTTTAGATGATAACCCAATGGTTAAATTCATCCATATTTGATGATTTTGTTATTAGAATTAATCTAATAGGACTGTTTGTTATCGGTGCAGCAATGCTGGGCAAGGGCTATTTTCACTTGGAAACATATTACTATCCATATTTCTAAGTGAAAATCGTTGTCACTGCTGCCTGACAACAGGCTGCTCGAAGTGGGTATCGAACCCGGGACCTCTGATTCAGGTCCCGTTGCTCTTAACCGCTTACCTACGGGCGAGCCAACATACTAAATGGAAAAATATAAAGATATACAGGTAAACAGGCGAACGGTAATAAATGTAGATAAGTAGACAGGTGGACAGGAAGACAGGTAGACATGTAGACAGGCAGATCAGCAGATGCAGATCATCTATAAATAAAAAAAATATTATTAATAAATCGATTATATACACTTATTGGAAAGTTCATGCAACTTGTCTCAAGGCAAAATGCAACTTACAACTTTTTATTATTACTCTAAGTCTAATTTAATTTTTTGATTCCTGTGCATTATTAATTAAGACGCTCCTCCTTCTACAAAATGTGTGCTTATTCAGCCTGGGTAAATAAAGCATCATGACATAATATTATTGGAATTTTACATCAATAAACATTCTGAAGTAATGTTTCTCTTAATTAAGACGCAAGCACGAAATTATGTTATCTCAAGTAAAACGTAAACCTAAACCCATGCCACAGTATGTAAAATAACAAACATGTAATAAATTTAATTGATCATTAAAGGATTGAGCTTTTGGACCGATGATCTAGTTTAACTATTTCCAGGCATCTATGCAAATAAATATTTTTCATTTTGGCTGTATGTATCTTTTTTTGGAGATTATAATATCTTTTGACTTGATCTTTTGCAAATAAAGATATTTTAAATTTAAATGTGTTTAAATTTTTTAATGTAAATTATATCTGAGCAAAGTGTCATTCAGCTCTTAGACAGACTGCATGATTAAAATGCGTATTTTAAATAAATGTATAATAATGTTTTGAAAATTCGGTTGAAGAAAATCTAATAGAAAACACAAAATACAGCCTGGCGATTGGCACATAAGTAGGAGACACTAGCTATACAATATTTTTAATATAATAATTTTTATTTAGGACATTACTTACGAGGATATGATTTGCCATATAGTTTTGATTGTTTCACTATAGGTCAAGAAAAACTGTTAACTCTTAATTTGAATAAAAATACAGTGCGAACAGAAAGGAACAGATTCTTCAATTCTCAAACAAGTTATTAATAATCATAAATCATAATTGAAATTAGTAAAATATTTTTCTAAATTGTAATGTAATAAAATGATTTGAGCTAACAGCATAGAAACTACTTTGGCCATACTTTGACCGTCTTAGACGTATTTCTACTCTTATTCTAAAATTGAAAGCTGCTCAATGCGAGCCCTAGTTGATTTTTTTCAAATGGCTTTAACTTTTTGAAATGCTGACTTTTACAAACTTCTTACTATCAAATATTCAAAATGACTTGAAACATCAAAGAATGATGAAATTGGAAAATATGATTTTTGGGCAAACATAAACTTTTACCTTTTGTCTTCTCAAAGTTAGTAATATAACAGTAGTTTAATATAATGTTTAAATACATTAAATATGGTATTTTAAATAATAAATTTGCATTTGTGTATCTGTTTTCAGGAATAAGTTTAGGGTTGTTACTTATTATTTCTTTGCTCATATCGATTAAATATGATATATGGTATCGATTACCAAAATTGTATTTCTAGGTTACGTCCACTGATATTTATAATCTTAACACTCGATTACAACATTATATATGATAATTTTTTTATTCAATCTTCGTGATACTTGGAAATCGCAAATACTCAAATTGTAGGCTGTTTGTGCAAAAAGGCTTGTAGGAAAATAGCTAGAGCTTGACTGTTGTCAAGCAGTAGTAACATCGGGTTTCACTTGGAAATATAGATCGTAATACTTTTCAAGTGAAAATAGCCCTTATCCGATATTGATGCATCAATTAATAGACATTGTAGACTATTACAATAATTGAAGACCATTACAATAATTGTAATAATAACATAGGTGATAGGTCCACAAAATAAAAAAAAGTTGTCTGAATTGGGTATGTGGTATATGTTTGACATTTTTAGGCAGTTAAGTATTAAGCAGAGAAATTGATTGGAATGTTTGTTATTTTTCTAATTTTGCGATTTGACCCCCAATTTTGACTTTAGATTCGTGTGCAGTGGTAAAAAATACATTAGAAAACATATGCTGCATACCTAATGCAGGCAACTTTTTTATTTTGTGGTCGGTGTAATCATTTTCATGACAACAATTCATAAATCTCTTAAAGTTCTGATCGATGTTTAAAAAATTAATAATAAAAAATGTATGCAAAGAAATCTTGAAATGATTAAAGTGCTGTTGAAATAAAATATCAGGAAAATTAAGTATTTCTTGTATTTTGTCTTATTATTTCATATCCTTATAGCTTATAGTTTGCTTTCTAGATTATTTTTTGAAAAAATATTTGGACGTGAAATTAATTCATTCGCGAATTCAGCAGAATGATAGGGTTTCTAACAAAATATTTTTCTCTTATCTTCAAACATGAACTCAAAAACCTTAGTAAATTTGTAATTTAAAAATTCTAAAATCCTTAAGCTGTTCTATAATGTTCTTTCTTGTCCACAGATTTCACACAGTTACGATCTCTGCGACGTTTGGACGTGAGTTACAATGGCATAAAGTGCCTGCCTCCGAGTGTCGGTGAGCTTCGAAACTTGGAAGAACTTTCCGTCGACAGCAATCCACTGTTCGAATTGCCACCTTCCGTGTTTTCCTTACCACGTCTGAGGGAATTGAGCGCAAATTGTAAGTCAAACTTTACTTTAAACTGAACTTTAGATATCCTAAGGCATTAATTAACATGGTCACTTAACGAATTAAATTTGGATTATCGGACCTCTTGATAATTGATAACATCATAGATTAGATAGATTACTGATTTTAGAAAATATAAATTTAGTCACATAGTATATAGAAATTTAGTCAGTAACCGATAATTCTGATTTTGTAATGTACTCATGATGTGTTTATTGTTGTCCAGTCTTTAGTGGAAAATAATGTTACCACCGCGGCTATTTCTGGATACATTCAAGTGTCTTAAGAATAATTTTATCAGCTGGAACAAGTTTTAACTTCCCGAAGGAGAAGTTTATGTTTTCATCAAAAAATGCGATTCGCTAATTTTATATTTTCTCGACGTTTCAAGCCTTTCTGAATCGAATGAGACTAAATTTGGAAAAAATATGTGTGTGTGTGTGTAAAATATATGTGAATTTGTAAATTCAAAAAACGTTCGATCGATAGATATTAGTTGGGAATCGATCTGATTAGTTTTTTGGTGTCAAAAATTTTTTTTCCTCGATTTTTATAATTTTTTTTATTGTAGATACCATAGTCTTATAGATCATACTGAAATATTACGGCCCTACGACAATTCGAAAATTCGTCAAAGTTTGCAAAATTTAGTATCGTTTTTCTGAAGTTTGTCAAAATTAGAACTTTCATCGACGTTTTCTCAAAAACGCCTGAACCGATTTCATAAATTTAAAAGTCATTTGATGTATCTTAATGAGAGCTATAGTTTGTCAGTTTTGTGAGACGATCTGCCGAGCCGTTTCTTTGTAATTTGAAAAAAAAGTGTTAAACTTTTCGTTTTTTTTATAAATTGGACCGTACAATACTCATTATGGCATAATTATGGTAATATGTATATTCTTTACTAGTTAGTGGTAAAACATCAAAGATGAGTTTTGGCTTCAAAGTGAACTTGCTAAAACTTAATATTTTTGTATAATTGATCAAATCCATAAAATTGGATTTCTCTCTTCAATGCTGATAAAATAGATTTTTTTTAAAAAAGTTAATATTTAAATTTATAAAATTTTAAATAATAAAAATATCTAGTAACTGATAATTAGATCTGATTTGGTTATTATTATGCGGTCTTTATTTACAAATTATTAGTTACCATCGGCAATTTCTGGATACTCCAAGTGTTGTAAGAAGAAAAATATACCAAGAGGTTGTCTTTTGGGATAATTTCGATCCCCTTCTTTTTTTTTGATAAATTGGTACAATACTCACATTATGGTATTGAAAATATATTATGCTAGTTAGTGGGTGACACAAGCAAGATGAATTTCGATGCCTAAGTGAACTAGCCAAAATCTAATGTCTTTCTAATTGATCATCCCAATAAAAACGGATTTATCTTTTTAATAGCAATAAAAAAGATTGCTCCTTAAATTTAACAATGTTGAAGTTTTACATATGAAGAACTCAATAATATGAAGATAGAAATACGCTCAAGTCTGCCAATACAATCTCTTATATACCCATATATAAGTTATTTAGTATAATAAGAGCCTGCAATAGCTATTTAGCTTGAAATCAGTAAGAAATTAGCACAACATTTTCAAGATTCTAATGAAGAAATTGATTTTTTTTACTTGACCGATGACTCGAACATGACTAACAGTTTTTGTATAACATTTTTAAATCTTTGACTCTTTATTTAGCTCTAAAGCTATTTTAATTAGCTTTACTGTTTATAAGATTTCAAAAAAGTTTGGTATTTGAAGAAAAAGACCTTTCAGTAAAATATTTAAAATAATTTAGTTAATGATCAATATAATGTAAACAAATTGTTATTTGATAATTAACAAAAAATGAATGAATGAAATAAATTAACATGTTTTCAACCAGCATTGTTATTCGAATTCTTGTTTTTATATACATGCTAAACCAATCGTGATACAATTGATTATTTTGAAAAGTTTCATATTACTTATTGAGTTTATTAAACTCCAGGTTTTTATTAGGTTGTGATGACTATCATTATAACTATTTAAGTAATAGACAATATGTTAAATGTTATCTATAAGAATTTGATAGTGAATTTTTTGGAAAGTGCATAAATATGAAGTTAGTGCAACTAGTATATATGAGAAATAATTAATTAATTTGGACATTAACAGGTTGTGATTTGCGCTGCTTACCAGCATTACCATTGGCCGCTGATCCTCTGCCTAATATTATTTTCAAGCTGAACCCTGCCCTGAAACATGTACCCTTGACTCTTGAACCTCTATTTGATATCAATCCACATATCAGCACACGATTTTGGTAATTGGAAATATATAATCAATTATATTTGTATTACCTTCACTGGTACGTCAATCTGATGCATTTTCAAATTGATTTCAGGACATACGATTCGACAGAATTTTTCCATCCAGGACAAATCCATGTAAAAGTAGTCAATACTGAAAATTTACCAGAAATCGATGTTTATTTATATTCGGGTATCAAACATGTTTCACAATATTTTGCTCCAAAAATGCCAACATTGTTCGAATTGGCCTTGCGGAAAACACATGCTATTTTGAGCAAAACCTCTTTCTTTCTGGATGAGAATGAAAACTGTGATGATGAAGATTATAATGAATTTTATGATAGTGATTATGATGAGGGGAGGGTCATTATTATGTGAACGGAAAAAGTTTTATAAAAATGACTCATGAAGTAATGCATGTGAGGAACTACCTCTCCATCTGAGTTCTCAGTTAAAAGAAGGGCCGAATGCCGTTTGCCACAACTGCAAAATTGGATTGTTTGAGTATGGAGTGCTCTGCTTTTTAAACAGGTATGATAATGAGAAATTTTAACATAGGAGGGAGGTGCTTGCAAGTGAGTAACTTTAGGGATAAGCAAATGACCGTTTTAAGTACTGACAAGTTCATTAAATTTGAATATATGCCAAATTTTATAGGGTAGAGCGGGGCTTAAAGGTCCGCAGGTAAATAGGTCTACCACCGATTTTTCAAAAACATGTGAAATGAGAAATTTTAACAACAATATTTGAAAGTAGAGGGCAAAAGATGTATAATCTGTCATGACATTGATTCATACGACGTTGCTATCAGGAGATATAACGGTAATGCTTGGAAATCCTTAGCAAGAGTAAATTCTTCGGTTGTTAGATTTTATAAACCCACTATATAAGAGCTAATCATGAGCGCAGGAATAAAAAGGACCAACTAATTCTTTATCCTGGAAAAGGTGTAAACTATAAAAAATAGTAAATAAAAAAGCAATTTTATAAGAGAAACTATTTAGATAATTATTCCAACTCTGCTGATGAACATTTCTGATGAAATACTAGATCTAAGTCTGTAAAAATTAACCAATGAAATTTATATTATTTGGATTGCTTGAATAATGTAGCTATTATTTCGTAAAATTCTTTTAGAATTAAATTAAATATGGACCGGCTGCCCCCTGGCCATCCTATTTTACTCTGCCTATGGGGTGAAAAATACAGGTGACAAATTTTTGAAAAACAGGAAAAACACATTTTTGCAATGATGAATTGTTAAGATTTTTTGCTGAACCTCTGAACAGTCAGATAGTTGTTTGTTTGATTTGTGTTATTTGTTATAATACAATTGGTTTGGTTTTCACAATATAATTGCTCAAAGTCAAATTAGACTTTGTGCCTTGTTCTACCCTATGTAAAGAATGAAACAAGACATATTTTAATTTAACTACATAATCATAGGGTTTTATAAGAATTGGAGCTTGTTATCTGAACAAATTTAATAAACAAAACAATGTATCTGTAAATACTTTTTGGTTTTCTCAAGTATACTTAAGACTTAAAAAAGATATTACTTAAAAATAATCGAGTTTTAAGACGTATGCACATGATGATTTGCACATATTGATGCCAAATATCATAGACTACTGTGGAGAAAATTTATTATATAAATAAATAATTTATACTATAAATACTTTCAAATAATTCCGGATTATTATTTATTCACTGCACACCTCTCTCTTATTGTTTTGATTAGAATAAGGAAAGATGTATGTAATGTGGTCGAAAAAAATAATATATTTATTTTAGGCCCGTCAAAGATTATTCGGCGATTCATACTTATTATGTAGTGCAATGTTTTGCGGAAGTAAATGCACGAGAATTTGGCTAGCAAATCATCCTAATGTAACTTTCATCCCTTGGAAACTAATTCCTAATCCTATATCATGATAATATATATATATATATATATATATATATATATATATATATATATATTTAACTACTACCCACCTATCTAGTTTTATCTGTGATAAGAAATAACTATATTTTAAGCAATTTTAAGACTATTTTTTTAATTTGTTGACTTATCATATTTTGTAAAAAAATTTATACATTTTTCAAAAAATATTTTTAATGATTACAGTATTATAGCTTAAATTGCAACAATTTTAGTTGTATAAGTTTAGTCATTTTTTGCCAAAATGTATTGTACTTCATGACTGGGGTAAGACTGGATACGGTTGTGCCACTTTTCTTTGAGCAGTCATTTTTTTCTTGTATTGAATTTTGCTTTCCCTTTGTTTTTCATATCTTGTCTTACAATTAATTAGGTTAGATTTTTCCTTATCTGTTTAATCTTCATTCGAAAAGCACAACGTACCTTTTAAAACCTTTTTAGAAACAAATCATCGTTATAACTATGCTAAATTGCTGGTAATTATCTACTGATGTTTAATTTACAGAAAAATAACAAACAAGTGATTTATCCCTATACAAGAATTATTAAATTATTATTCAACAAAAACTTTTTTGGCCCTTAAAAAAAATAGTCTAGAGATCTTGTTAATTTAGAGCGCTGACTCAATGCAATAATGGAAACTTGCTCGAACAAACATACTTCATCTATCTCTCTTTGGACCCTATGTCAAAATCAGTATTTTAGCTCTTATGGTGACTGTTAATACCCTGGCACAACTATACCAAGTCTCCCCTACCCAAATTTAATATGAAATATGTATTATTTATTCATTAGATGATGAATTTATAGTAGATATCTTGCTCCAGAGATTTGACTACGAGATTTTTAACTTTTATTTTTAATTCAAGTTTTATTAGTTACTATTGTTGGAGCTAGAATTCTTGCAGATTCTACAATTTTGAATGAACTGCTATTACTTATATGATAACTTATGAACTACATGATGTATATCCATAACTAAGATTACTGTTTTTAATTGAAGTCGAGTTTAAATGAAGATAGTAAAGATTGCATACATTCCGTTTGCGCAAATCGTGAATAAGTCAAATGAAATATACCACGTATTAAAAATCTAATGAGAAAAATATTCTTTATTGACCACAACCATACAATATTACTAACCACATGATAACCAATGTCATTGACTTGACTTTTCATCAAAATCATCAAATCATTTTTATTGATTAAGTCCTCTTTTTCAAACTCGACTACATTTTGGACTTTAGGCTGAGAAGAGACTGAAATATTGCAATATTTAGAATTAGTTAAGTATTGTTAATTATAATTTAGTAATAATTAATATAAAATATAGTATATTATTTTTGTTATATATAAGCGTATATTATACATTTGTTTGCTTAAATTTATGCAAAGTATCGTACTAAATTAATATTTAATTTGTTATACCAGAAAGTTTTTATGAATCATTTTATATAGAAACAATCTTCATTTAGAACATATAGGTTTTTTAAGAAATTACGAAGGTATTAAGAAATCATTCATCTGTGTGGTTATATGACTTGTACTATTAAATATAACGTTGCTAAATAATTAACAAAGATTAGTGATTATTAAATAATTGCGTCTACTAAGAGCATTAAAAATTACAAAAAAAAAACAAAATCAAAATTTAATTTCAATATCCAATAACCGTACGTTTATCGTCTACTTAAAATTTTACTAACGAGTAGATTAAGTCAATAATGTTAGAAGTATCTATTATTATGATTATAATTAATTATGATTATTTTATCATATCTGCTCTTTGATTAAAAAGATAAGTTGTTTTGAATTACTATATTCGCGCTAAAAAAATAAAATATCTGAAATTGAAATTTACCTGTTTCCTATATGTATAGCTAGAAACCCATCGTCTTCCGAATGTAAAATCTCGACATAAGCTTTTCCATCAGGTGATACTTCTACAGTTTTACCAGAACACCTGCCATTTTCGCTTTTCCAGATATTACATCGCAATATCTTCCGGCAGGCAAACAAGTCTAGAATTATTATCAATTAATTATTTAATAAACCAAT